CAGACACAGGTTCCCTCGCGCACAAAGAAGGGAGATGAAGGCCTCCGGGATCAAAGCAGGCCTCGCTGAGCAGAGCCCTCACCCTGGGGGGTGGGCAGTTCTCCACACGTGGAGGCACAGGGTGCCCCGTGGCACCCCAGATTCCCATGAGCTCAGGGATACACAGCGAATGAGGCAGCAGCCACCTGTGTGGCTTGTGTTGTCACGCAGGGCCCTAACACTACAACCACAGCAACTGCCTCTTGCCACTGTGTGCTCACCCTTCATCCACTGGGCAAACTGCAAACTTTCCCCAAGCCCGACTCTGTACAGAGTAACCACATTGGTCCAGGCCTCAGGGAGCTCAGACTCAGCTGGCTCATCCACTGTCATCACCTATTCATCAGACACCAACTCTGTGCAGGCTTCCCTAGAGGATTCTGTGCATTTTAAAATCCATTTTACAGATGAGGAGACTGAAGCTTGGGCAGATGAATCAGACTGTACTGTAAAGATACACCTTTACACATGCACACCAGCTGTGCCCCTGGCTGGTCAGGTCAGGGAGCGGGCTGGCATCAGCAAGGAGAACTAGCTTTTTGGGTTTGAGCAAATTAATATGTACACACCAAAACCCCATTCTTCCCATCCTCCCTCTGCCTCTCACCTCCTACACACACACACACACACACACACACACACACACACACACGCACGCAAACACACACACTTGCTGCTAATGCCTCCCTGGAAACCAAAACACTGCAGGGGAAAAAGCAGTTCTCATGATGTAACTTTTTAAGAACGTGGCAGCTGTATCAGAACCACAGAACAATCCTTCGTCTCTCTTTTCTGTTCATGACAGAGTCTGGTCTTGTATGTGTGGGCTCCCTAGGAGAAAAGGGAAAGTCCCAGATGCAGTGCTGGTCTCCTTCCAAGCTTTCAAAATACTCCTTCCACGTTTCAGGTTCAGGAAACCAAGGAAACAGCCTGAGATAGGCTGATGAAGACCCTGTTGAGAAGACAGAATAATCACTTTTTCCTAAGCCTGGGGCTGTAAGTTTTGAACCCCAGTTGGTGGAGGTGTTGGGCTACCAGGTCTTGTGGAGCCCCCCATCAGCTGTGCTCTGAGCGCTGTCTACAGACTGATGAGCAGATACCACAGATCCATCCCACTCGTTCAGGTGGAGAAGCTGCAGTGGCTGCTAAACCACAAATCCATTTACAATTGTCCGTGATTTTTTAAATGAAGATCTCTAAAATGCACTTATCTGCCTCTCTATGAATCTACACGTCTCCAGATAACTGGAGATCTATGTGGATGTGTACATTAGATGCTGCCCATACTGTGAACTCTGTGATCTTGGGGACAGGGACGAGAGGCTTTCCTCTTTTATTTTATACCTTTTAATTCAGTTCATGTACTTCTACTATGCACATGTATTGCTTTTATTTGAAAACATCAGAAAAGCCACCTTCTTGAAAAGGTTAGGTGCCCTAGGCTGGACTTTAGGTTCCCTGTAGGCCACAATGGGCCTTGTACACCAGTACCTCCCAGCTTCCACACTCAGAGCCAGGCCTCCTTGTGATTTGTTCTTGACATGTGATCCTTTCAAAATCTAAATCCAAAGCTGGCAGGGTGCCATACTGGCCGGATGCATTTTCCTATTGTAAAGCATAGGTAGCTGGCATAGGTAGCTTCCCTAGAGGGAAGCTAGAATCATATTCTAAAGGATAAGAAAAGATGCCAGCCCAGGGCACTGACCTCATCATACAGAACAGAAGGCAGCAAGAAGCCAGCCATGGTGGCACACACCTATAATCCCGTCACCTGGGAGGCTGAGACAGGAGGATCACCACGAGTTCAAGGAGAACTGGGATAGATAGTGAGTTCAAGGACAGCCTGAACTACTTTACAATACCCTGTCTTAAAAAAATAAAAAAGCAGAAAGAGCGGAAGTTCCTGCAGTGGCATTCAGATCAAGGACTGAGACCAGGTCCCATCCTGGCTCAGAGTCAGGGAGAGCCCAGCTCACAAAATGACAGTTGCTAGCCAGGCATGGTGGCACAGGCCCGCAACCTAGCTCTTAAAGGCTGAGGGAGGAGGATGGCAAGTTCAAGGCCAGCCTGGGAACTTAGCAAGACCCTGTCCAAAAACAGAAGGGAGGGTCAGTGGGCTGGGCTGTAGCTCAGTGGTGGACTGCTTGCCTGGTATGCAGATGGCCCTGAGTTCCATCCCTAGCACTGAAAGACCAAAAAAAAAGAAGAAAAACAGATAGCTCCTCCCTGCCCTGGTACCAAGCATGGCAGAAAAGGGAGGTCAAGAAGTGAAAGCAGACTGAGGCTGGGGTTTTCTGGGGACTTACGGAAATTCCTAAGTATATGTCATGTGTTCAGGCTCAAAATAAGAAGTGAACAGTGAACAAAATAATAGAGCTACAAGGAAAAGAGGGGACACCTAACAAGGCCCATCTTGGAGCAGGTGGGAGGCATGTCAGCGGCTCCCCTGTAGGTGGAGCAGGGCAGCACCAGGGAGAACCCGCTGGAGTGGGGACCTACTTCCCCCAGGGATCCCGTCCCAGGCATGCGGGGCGTGATGGCGTTGGCACTCTCTTGGGACTCTCACTCTGCAAGTGTGGTAATTGGGGTCCCAAAGGTGAGACTCAGAACTTCACCCCATGAGGCTCCAATGTGACCATCTGGACAGACTCTGGAATTGTCACAGGGCTGAGGAGGCTGGTGAGACTCGATGACTAAATACAGTGAGGGACCTAGATTACATCCTGGAAGGGGGAAAGAATGTTTTGGGAAAGTTGGTGACATCTGAAAAGGGTCTATGGTTAAGAGTAGTGGACACAGGTTAATTTGATAACTGGACTGTGGTTATGGGAACTCTGTGCTGTTTTGCAACTTTTCTGTAAGTCTGAAAAATGTTTAAACTAAAAACTTTTTAAAAATTAAAAACAAAATTCTATACCAGTGGAGGAAAGTGGAGACAGCACTGTGGGGAGCAGGGGATCTCAGCCCTTCCCCCTCACTCCCAGTCCCTGCAAGGGCAGAGGAAACACTGGGCTGGCTGATACCGGTCCAGGTCATCAACAGGGCCACATTCATTAGAAGCATCACCAAGTGCCCAAAGGCCATGCCCCTGTGTACAGCTCTCTGTCCCACTGCTGCTGTGAGATCTGTGAGGTGAACCAGGGGCCTGCTTGAACTCAGCCCTCTCTGATGCCCATAGGCCTGTGTGAGTGTCCCCTTCTAGCCAGCATGTACCTGCCCCCTGCTGCTGGCCAGCAGACAGACAGTAAGGGCCCAGAGGACAGAGCTCCAACCCAGCCTTGACCAGACAGGTCTGAGGTGCTGTGTTAGGCATTAGCTGGGCTCTTCAGGAGGCTGCTTAATTCTCCTTCGCTGCCATTTCTTCTGTGGTCAGGTCCCTCCTCTAAAAAGCTCAAGGCCAGGTGTAGGTGGGCAAATCATAATACCCACAGTCAGGGGCCTTATTGACAAAAAGCACTGAGCCCTGGCCCTGCCCCTGAGCCCTGATTTTCATCAAGAGCAGCCTGGTGCTTCCTATTTGAAAGGAGAGACGCTGTCTGCAGAGCAAGGCAGGGGTAGGGTGGGGTGGGGGTGCCTGGCCTGCTAGGGTCACAATGAGAGTGGAGGGTCCACTGGCAGCGGGAAAAAGCCAGGAATGGGGTGCAGGCCCAGGAACACAGGAAGTGGGGAGCACCTGGGGTCTGGGTGTCTTCAAGCAGCATCCACATTCCATGGGGGAAGCGGGGGTGGGGGTGGAGCAGAGGTCCCCAAATTTCATGGGGACAGATGGAACTTTCACATCAAGCTCCATACACAGATTTTGGCTTTAAAATGATGTAATGTATCCACATCTGCCCTCCCTTCTCCAAATTTTGTTTGAAATGACCAAAGAAATAAAAACCCAAGACAAAAAAATGTCTGTTGCAGTACTGAAATACAGGGAAGGATGACATCAACAAACCAGAATTTCTCAGTTTGAAACAAATGGAATTGGATTAAGTGAAAAAATATGAGTGTTAGATATCCGGTCATAAAAATCAACCATTTCCTTTGCTCTAACAATAATCAGCTACAAAATGTACCAGCACAAGCACACACTGACAAAAGAGAAAAGTATGAAAAAATAAACTTTTAAAAATTATATGAAAGTCATTTGAAGAAAATTATAAAATCTTACTGAAAGACAAAAAAATAATTAAGAGGGAAGACCTTTCTGTCCCCTAAGTAAGGAGGCAACATTTTAAGTCATCAATTCTCTCCAATTAATCTATAACCAAAATAATTTCACTCCAAATCCTAAGAGGATCCATTTTGGAACTTAACAAATTGAATCGAGAATTAATCTGGAAGAATAATTGAAAGTTTTTAGAAAAAAGGTATAATGAGAAGGGTCTGTCCTGCCAGGAAGCCAGAGTGATGGCAGGGAGATGGCAGAGAAACAGGCAGACAGCTCAGGGGACAGAACACAGCCCAGAAAATGGGACCAAGCACAGGCAAGGACTAAGATCGGTTCACAATGGCAGTTCAATCGCCAGAGAAGAGCGGGCTGATTATGAAGTAAATGGGAAGGGGAGGAATTTGCTTAAAATTGCTCAAAATCTTATCAAATATCATATGAAAGAATAAATGTTTGATGGATTAAAGATTTTAGATTTAAACAGACAAAAATTCACAAAAATACTAGTAGAAAAACAGATCAATATGTTTTTATAATCTTGGAGTAAAGAAGTCCTCTCCAAGGCCCATACAAAAGCCAGAAAACCGACACTACTGGCAGACTTATCTGGTTATTTTTGTTTTCTGTTTGGCAGAGCTGGGAATGGAACCCAGGGCCCTGAGAACACTGAGCAAACCCTCTACCACTGAGCTACACTCCTGGCTGGTCCCACTGGTAGATTCAAATGCATTAAAAATGAAAACTTCTGTATAGGAAAAGACATCACAAAAAAGATGAAAGGCAGTCAATAAACTGAAAAGGGCATTTGTGATGTCACATGACAGGTGATGAATTAGTATCCTCCTCAATGTAGAAGAACCCCAGGAGCTCTGGCGAGATGCTCAGGGACCCGTGACCATGGGCAGGGGCTCCTCCTTCCTAAGCCTCTGTTCTCTCTTTGGGAAGGAACAGAACCCAAGGCAGTGCCTTCCGCACAGGATGGGGAAGATCCACAGGAGAGGCTGTGGGCACGAGGCCCAGAGTGTGAACACAGCAAGGCACTACCAGACGGGCAGCCTGAGCACATTCCAGGAAAGTTACTGACTAACCAGGGCCCACGAACAGTCAAGAAAGCCCTGGAAACCATGTCAACGTGATTCAATGCAGGCAGTTAGGCTGCATTCACTCAGTGGGACATGAGCAGTGGATAAAAGGACAAGTAACATGCACTGACAGAGAAAGATGTCCACAAGTTCAGGGTAACAACTACATAATGGAAGGTGAGTACATCTTAGGCACTCACTGTCCTGGGTGCTAGGGACACAACAGTGAAGAACAACCCAGAATAGACCCATCCCAGTGCCATAAATAATCATTCAGTCAACAGATGACATGTCCACAGGTGACAAGAGGTAAGGAAGAAAGGCAGGGAAAGTACGTAGGCAGGAGGTAGGGAAGGCAGCCTCGGGTCTAAATAGGGGTGGGGAGAAAATGAACATGTTTAGGACACTTATACACACACATGCGAACATACACAGAAGTATAGAGGATTAACATCACTGCCTCTTAAAGTCACTGTTTTGCTTTCTATTTTTTGCATACTTCAGTATTGTCTTATTTCTTTTAAAAATAAGTACAGAAAATGCTTATGAGCAACGCAGCATTTAGGGGAGAAGACTAAATACATATGCACATCAACAGGCTCTTCGAGATAGGATTAGAGACTGAGCCGGTCAGGGAGGCTGTGGACTCACGCCTGGTGCTGCAGCGCCTCCTGGTGGCAAATTGTCTAAATGATCACTCACCTCCAACCACGTCCAGGCAAGAAGCAAGATCCACAATTGTACACAACAGTATTAAAACGTTCCACCCATGACAGGGACAGAAAAGAAAATGGGCAGACACATGCACAGTTTGAACTTCTGGGATATCAGAGTCATGGTGGAATTCAGCCAGCTTGAGCTCTCTCAATCACAGGTTATAATGATGTTTCACTCCTTTGCTGCTCATCACTGGACAGAGGTGCAGTGAGGGGTGGGCAGGGAGGCACAGATTCATAACCCAGAACCCAGCCTATTTGTCCAAGTTTCCTGGGAGACTCATAAAGACAAGTGACAGAGCTCAGGGTATAGGCTGGTTGGAAGAAGTGCCCAGGAGTGAGTCCAGGACACTGGCCAGGATGGGCAGCCACCTCCCTGCCCTCAATGGTCAATCACTGAGCTCCTGTACTGACTGCTGAGCCAGAGTCTCCTGCTGAAGCTCTGAGGTGCCATGGGTGAGCAGGAAGTGACACCAAGACCTCCACCTGGAGACCATTCCCTTCCCTCTGTTCCACTCAAGTATCCTTGCTCTGTGCTTCTGCTCAGCCCTCTGCAGCATCTGTCACTCTGACGGGCAGGTGCTGCCTCTCCCTGCGCATCATGAGCTCTGAAGGGGGAGAGTCTATCTCAGTCACCTTCAGGATAAAGCTTAGATGCCCAACAGTCCTGGTTTGAATCCCAGCTTTGCCACTTACCACCCATGTGGCAAGTGCCTATATGCTCCAATTCCCCCTCTGTTAAGAGGGGTACAGGCTGCATCCACCACATTTGGCTGGTGTGGGGATTAACTAATGCTAACAGCCAGCCATTCAGAGGACTGGGATGCCAGGCACTTGTCTAAGAGCTTCGTATATATTAAGTTCCTTCACAGAATTATTTCATCCCCAGTTCTCAGCTCAGTCAGCAGTGCTCTCAATGACAATGAATGAACTACTCCTCCAGCCTACCATGGTAAAAAGGGAACGACTCCATCACCACTCCAGCCACCCAGTTCTGCTGCCCAAACAGGCCCAAAGGGGCTGGGAGGAGAGGAAACCTCTGGCAGCTGTGAGTACCTTGCAGGGGAGTGGGGGGTCATGGCTTAGAGCTGATGCCTGGGGGAGACACCAACACTCTGGCCAAGTTGAGCTCAGGTGGGACCCAGGTAAAGACGCCCACCCAGAAGGGGCCTCAGCTAAAAGTAGGTGAGCTTTGCCAACAATCCTAGTCTGACTCCCTCTCCAGGCTCTGTACAGATGAGCCTTAAACACACACCAGTGGTTTCTGGCAACATTTTCTGCAGCAGTGGGTTCCTTTGAAGATAATGTCCTGTCCCTGCAGTCCACCAACTGCCGAGTAGGCAAGGCTGTGGTCCTCACAGGAGCTCCGCAGACAAGATGGCTGAGGGAAGCCAGGTCTGAGGGCAGGAGAGGGTTAGGGCCTAGGGGTGTGCTCTGTGCTGGGTGTGTCTTCTTCCAAGCTCCCCTCCCAGCCCTGGCAAGTGACTCCACTGTGCCCACAGCCGACCCAAGGAAGGAGATGTGCTAGGGCTGCAAGAGCCTACAAGGCCACACGCAGCCTGCTTCTCCCAGCTGGGAAAGGGGGCACTGCTCTTCTCCCTCAAACACCACCCTGGCTCCTTTTGAGTCTCATTCTAAGTGTCACTTCCTGTGGGACCCTCCTGTGATGCCCATGTGTGCTCTCCTCCAGCCTGTCAGAGTCTAGGTTTCTCCTCCATAGCATGCATCGGGTCTGTTGTGAACTGTGCATGCATACTTCTTAGTGGACGTGTCACAGCTGTGGCCACACTCTTGGCCACCTCTCCAAGATGTCCAGAAGCATTCTGTGCCAGCCTGTGCCAGCCTGTGGCTTCCAAGGCTCATAACCCCTTTTCTGAGCAAGCACTACCTGCATGATTCCCACGCCTGACTCAGGCTCTGGGGGGCCAGCATCTCCCTCTTAGTCAAGCAGGACAGGGTACAAGAACATGATGATCAAAAGTGGGAGGTGCCAGGGCCAGGGATGTATCTCAGCGGTTCTGCCACCTGCCTTGCAAGCAGAAGGTCCTGAGTTCGATCCTCAGTACCAAAAAAAAAGTAGGTGGGCCAGATGTTAACACACCAGATAGGCCACATCTTCACTGTACAGAAAGGGAAACGTTAAGTCCACTTGTTTAAAAAGCAACACTATCAAACACAATCACAAAAGAAACAAATGACAGAAAAGAAGGTATAGTTATTATCTAGGATGTCTCTTGGTTTTTAATTATTTTAAAACTATACATTATTGGATTTCCTGTTCAAACTACAAAAGAAACATTCTCTGTTGCTACAGCCTAACCTACTAGGAGCACACAATTAAAAGGCCACAACCCCAAGGCCCCCCTTTCTTCCACCCCAGGGAAATGCAGAGAGCAGCAGGAGCATATTCCTCTGAGCCTTTCTGCCCAGCAACATAAACACACACAACTGGAGCCCAGGGCCACCCTCTATGCCCAAAGCCAGATAGATCATGTCAACAGTGACACTGCAGGAGTACAGACCCAGGACAGAAAGGGCCTGTGGCTACCACGCCACAAAAACTGTTGATTTGGAACTTGTGCAGAGCATGGAAGTGGCCACACAGAGTCCAAGAGGTCAGTGAGACCAAGCCCCTGTGTGGAGCAGCAGAGCTGTAAGAGCTTGGGTTTTGAAAGCCTGCTCCCATCCTCAGCTCAGTACCTGTCGGCTGGGAGACCACAGGGAAGTGGGTCGGTTCCTCTGTGCTTCAAATCCCTTGCACAAACAAAGGTGACCTTGGAGCTCCCACTGTGTGTCTGCCCTGACACACTGAAAAGCAATATACAGGACTTAGCACAGGGCTGGGCACCTGTATCCTCCACCCCAGGGGCCCCCAGATGGCAACACCTGCCAATACGTACAGTGTCTTCTCCCTGTTTGTGGCAGCCTGCCTGACTCGGCCTCAGGGATAAGCCTGGGACTGGGCAGGCTCTGGGCAGGTGGGCCAGGAGAAACGAGCTGGCAGCCTGTGCTCTTCCTGTGGACCAGGACCAACTCAGCCCAGATCACCTGGGCTTGGCACTAGCAGACACCTGGGAGCACAGACTGAAGAGAGGGATTCCACTAGAACCAGAGTGACCCAGGGTCAGACCCTACTCTGCCACTGACTTGCTTCAGAGAAACTGCTCCTCTCTGGACCTGTTTCTTCCCCATGTGTTCTTTCCATTAACGGCTCTTCCCAGGACTTTCTCAAGGGAATCAACCTCACCGAGAGGTAAGTTTCAGGGAACTTGCTTCTACATACTGTATGAACGACTTGGAGTTGAGTTAATCATGCATCAGAAGCTTCACCTTCTTCCTCCTTCATGACACGGAGTTGACAGAAGAGTGAGGCTATCATGACACGGAGTTGACAGAAGAGTGAGGCTACCAGAAGAATCTGAAAAACGTTATAATAGTTCAGTAATCCAAGATGCTCAGAGGCCTGACCCTGGACCCTTCTCTAGCTTCCCTGTCACTCTGTCCCACACTCATGCTCTGTGACAAGGAAACCGGACCTAATACAGATGCCACTGAACTGTGTGCGGCTCACCCACCCACTGCCAGGCCACCCTCTGCACAGGCACCAGCTTGTATGGCCTCGAGCCTCAGCTAACCCAGCTTCTTTTTTTTTCTTGGTACTGGGGATCAAACTCGGGACCTTGCACTTGCAAGGCAGGCGCTGGAACCACTGAGCTAAATCCCCAGTCCACTTCTTTTTTTTTAATATTAATTTTATTGGTATATTTTAGGTATACAATATAATGACATTCATCATTGGATATTTGCACCTTTACATAATCTATCTTGGTTCTTATTTTTCCCCCTTCCCCTGCCCTCCCTTCAACCCCTCCATTCCTCCCTATTTACAAAGACTTTGTTTCCATTTTTTAATTTTCTCATATTAATTCCATTCCCTTCTTTCCTTCCCCCAATACTTCCCACTTCCCCTTCCCCTTTGGACCTTTTCTTCCTATTTCACAATATCTATTATGCCTTTTTTCTTTTTGGTACCGGAGATCGAACTCAGGACCTTGCGCTTGCGAGGCAGGCAGTGGCACCACTGAGCTAAATCCCTGGCCCTATTATGCCTTTTGATCCTTATTTACACTTTCAGCTTCTCACACCAGAGAAACTATTCAGTATTTGCACGTGTGTGTCCTATTTATTTCAGTAAAGGGTATTGCCTCAATGTGCATCTATTTAGCTATAAATGTCTCTAACTTCTCATTCTTTATGGCTGAGTAGTACTCCATTTTCTTTTTAAAAAATACATTTTCTTTACCCAGTTTCCAGTTGATGGGCAATTGGGCTGTTTCTAAATTTTAACTATACAAACTGGTCATTTGAGAGATGAAAATGAAAACAATGCTAAGATTCCACCTCACCCCAGAAAGAACAGCTGCTATCATGAAATCAACCAATAACAAATGCTGGCGGGGCTGTGGGGATAGAGGAACCCTGCTCCACTGCTGGTGGGAGTGTAGACTGGTGCAACCACGTGGAAACCAGTACGGAGATACCTCATAGAACTAGGACTGGAAGTCCCATTTGACCCAGCTATTCCCCTGCTGGGGATCTTCCCAAAAGAATTAAAAGAATCACACCACAGCGATATATGTGCACCCATGTTCATATCACCCAGCTTCTTGATCCTTCACTACCACCAGTTGAAAAAATAAATAAGAAAGCACTTCTAGCATATGTATGCTTTTTGTAAATTAAATATATGGTCTAAGGTCTCAATGCATATAAACACTGTAAAACAAATACAAACATTCAAGTAAAGAGATAAAAATGAAAAAGATGATAAAACAATTTATTTTCTTCAACATACAAAAATCTTTCATTTTCATCCTCAGTAACTGCTAAGTGAGCGCACTGTGATGAATATGCTTCCCTTTTCTAGCATTTCTGTGAACTTGTTTATGGAAGAAGAACGTCTATGCCGAAAAGTGCACACAATGCTGAGGGCACCTCACAAGGGGAGCACAGCCTTGCAACCAGCACTTGGGTGGAGAATCATCACTAGCCCCCAGCCCATTGTGCCCCTTTGGTCATTTCCCACTTCTCAAGAGTCACCTACTATTCTCACTTCTAACAGCACCAGTTAAGTCTGTTGGTTTATAAACTTTCTATAAAGACCTCGCAAGTACAAGGTCCCGAGTTCAATCCCAAGTACAAAAAAACCAAAAAAACAAAGAACTTTCTATAAAGGGACTCATGCAGCATAAACCTTTTGTGTCTGAATGAACACTGTGAAGCTCATGTGTTTTTTCCATCAGATCACTGTCCATCAGCTCCTACTGATTCTAGTATTCCCTCATGTAAGTCACTACACATATCTGTCCCTCCACCTCAGGTGGATAGTGGGATTGCTTCCAGCTGGGCTGTTAACCAGTGGCGCTACTGTAAACATCATCAAGCCTCCAGAGTACAGGTACATGCTTTTCTCTGTGGATCTCATAGCTGGATAGACACCAAGCACTGGAAATTCTGGGTCAAAAGCTGCATCTACATCTGCTTTGGCAGATGATCCCAAACAGTTCCAAAGTGGTTGCTCTGTGACCTCACCATAGTATGATACTATCTTTTTTCTCCTCATTTTAGCCATTCTAGTGAGTAAGAGATCACAAAGTAAACACTACAGTTCCTTTTAAAGATAGGGAATGATTTCAATGGGGAAAAGCAGAAAGTTTTCCCTCTAAAATCAGGAAAAAAGACAAAATGTCCACTATCACCACTCCTGTTCAACATTGTACTCAAAACATTAGCTTCCGGAGCAATTAGGCAAGAGAAAGAAGTACGTGGGAAAGCAAGAAGTTAAATTATCACTATTTGCAAATGACATGAACCTCCACATAGAAGATCCAAAAAATTCCACCAAAAGACTGCTATAATGAATAACCAAATTCACCAATGTAGCAGGATCCAAAATCAACACACAAAAAGGAATAGCTTTCCTCTACACCAATAATGTACTCACTGAGAAAGAAATTAGGAAAACAATACCATTTATAATACCATCAATGGGCCAGGGATTTAGCTCAGTGGTTCCGCCTCCTGCCCCACAAGCACATGGACCCGAGTTCAATCCCCGGTACCAAAAACAACAAGACAAAATATATATATATATATAATAGCATCAAGAAAAATTAAATATGTAGGAATTAACCTAACCAAGGAAGTGAAAGATCTTTGCAACAAAAGCTATACTATTCTGAAAAAGGAGATTGAAGATATCCCTTGTTACTGGATAGGTAGAGCCAATATAGTCAATGTGGCCATACTTCCAAAATTGATACACAGATTTAACACAATCCCAAACAAAATACCAATAGCATTCCTCACTGAACTACAGAAAACAATCCTAAAATTCACATGGAACCAGAAGAGACTCAGAATAGCAAAGGCAATCCTGGGCAACAAAACCAAAGCAGGAGGCATAACAACCTCAGATTTCAAGTTATACTATAAAGCTATAATGATAAAAACAGTATGGCACTGACACAAAAACAGACATGTGAGTCAATGGAATAGAATAGAGGACACAGAAATAGCTCCAGGCATATTCAGCTATTTTACTTTTGATGAAGGAGCCAAAAACACACAAATAGTGCTGGAAAAGTGGCTATCCATGCAGAAGATTGAATCTAGACCCATATCTCTCATCATGTACTAAACTAAAATTAAAATGGATCAAAGATCTAAGTATTAAAATAGAAACACTTAATTTCCTAGAAGATAAAATAGGTAAAACTATTGAAGTCATAGGCATAGGCAAGGACTTTCTGAACAGAACTCCAATTTCACAAGAAATAGTACCAAGAATCAACAAATGAAGGGCTGGGGATTTAGCTCAGTGGTTTTGCCACCTGCTGCGCAAGCACAAGGACCTGAGTTCAAACCCCAGTACCAAAAAAAAAGAATCAACAAATGAGATCATATCAAATTTTAAAACTTTTGAACAGGAAAGGAAACAGCCAAAAGATTAAAGAGATAATCTACAGAATGGGGAAAAAAATCTGCCAGCTATTCCCTGGATAAAGAATTAGTACCTAGAATATATAAAGAACTCAAGGAAATTAGACCCTCCCCCAAAATGAAAGATCTAATTAAAAAATGGGCAACTGAAATGAACAGACACTTCCCAGACGCCCAACATCTCTGGCCATTAAGGAAATGCAAACTAAAAACAACACTGAGATTCCACTTTACTCCAGAAAGAATGCCTATCATCAAGATACCAAATAATAACAAATGGTGGCAAGGCTATGGGTAAAAAGAAACTCTTCTACATTGTTGACGGGAATGTAAACTAGTACACCCACTATGGAAATCAGTGTGAAGATTCTTCAAAAAACTAAAACTAGAAATTCCATTTGACCCAGCTATTCCCCTTCTAGGTATCTTCCCAAAAGAATTAAAGAAATCAGGCCAGGGATTTAGCTCAGTGGTTTCACTGCCTGCTGCGCAAGTACAAGGACCCGAGTTCGATCCCCGGTACCAAAAAAAAAAGAATTAAAGAAATCATACCACAAGTATACATGCACACTCATATTTATAGCAGCACAATTCATAATAGCTAAATCTTGGAAGTGGCCCATATATCCATCAACAGATGAATGGATTAAGAAAATGTGGTATTTATACACAATGGAGTGCTACTCTGACATAAAGGATAAAAAAAAAATCAGATATACAAGTTTAAATATCACACTGTTTCTCTTATATGAGAAGCCCAAAATATAAACAAAGATCAAAATAAAAGATAAAAGGAAGTAAAGAGATAGATATTTTTCAAATGGAAGGGGATCAAGAGATGGAGGGAGGAAGGAGAGAGGAGAGAAGGGGTGAAAAAAGAATTAAATTGTGTTATACACATGTACCAACTCCCTACAAAAGATGACATTAAGTTTTAACTCATACAGATGTGGACTTTTGTGTCTGATTTCTTTCACTTAGAATGTTTCAAGTTCATCCATGTTATAGCACACATCAATACCTAAAAATTTTTGACTGAAAACTCCTCTATTACATGGAACTCTTAGGAGCTCTAGGGACATGTATTAGACATTTTATCCATTCATCAATTAATTGATATTCAATTCTGAGTACTGGATAATGTGCTATAAAGATACATATATAGATCTGTGTACAGACACACATTTCTTGGGTATACTATCTAGGAGTAGACTATCTAGGTCATATGGTAACTAGATTTTTGCAGAATTGCTACCATTTTACATTGGTATGAAATGCACCATTTTACATTTCCACCAGTAATGTACAACTCTGCAGATGAAGGTGCCAAGCAAACCTCTCCAGGGCAGTTGGAAAGGACGGTTCCCCAAGGAACTGCCATAAAAGTAGCGCTAGGCAGACTGCAGACCCTACTAGAAGACACATGTGCAAACACACTGGAGGGCCCGAAAACAGCTTTCACATCTTCAGTCCTGGCATTTGAATAGTTCTTTTCAGTGCAGAGCAGGTTCATGCACAGGAACTCTGGTTTGAGTTGGAATTTTGTTCCTGTGTTTACTAATTAAAATTTAATGATATCTCTTTTCATAATTATTTCCTTTACATTCTTTTGATGGTCTTAATCATAACTATTTAGAACTAATTTTATACTGGAGTGAGTCTGCTCTCATCACCAATCCTTTCATACTCTGACCTGGCCACCCATGAGTCTCTTAATTTGGTTCATCTCAGCTGCTGGAGCATTCTGTCTAGTGCTTTTCCTCCAGGAAGGGAGAGTAGATGTAGTAAAAGCTACATACAAGGTGTGTCCTTCATAAATGAAATAAATTTGTTATCATCAAATGTGAACTAAAACTTGGCCAGGTATAAATTCTTCAGTCACAACCCTTTTCCCTCAAAACTCAGTGACCATTGCTCTACTGCCCTGTTGCACCTATACTATAGATCTGACCCCAGCTTCTTTTTCTTTCTTAAAAGGCTTCTTCTGACTGCGTGCTAATGGTATCACTTGACACGCTACATATTACTTAATTTTTGCTAATTTGCCTGGTTCATGAGGAGCCCTTTAAATCTGCAAATTTGAGTCTTTCCCTGGTCCAGGAAAACTGGTAATTCCTTTTATCCCATCTGTCCTGGTTTTCATTTTAGGAGCTCCAGGGGCCCCACTCTGGCCACCCTTGCCCATCCCCCTCCCCTGGCATCTGCTGTGCTGCTCTCCTGTACCCGCTAAGACCAGCCAGTCTGCCCTCCTCATCCTCCATAACTTTTCACATTACTGTCACTGTCAGTGCTGGCATTACATGATTTCCTGTCTAAGGTTCTTTGAGTCAACAAGCTCTTTTCCCCTCTCAGTCTGCTGTTCCATCTTTCATAGCATCTGTAACTTCTTGAAAGGACAAAGAGATAATGTTTGAAAACCACTTCAGTTTTACGGAGGCAAATGTTCCTGCAAAAGCAAGCTCTTCCTCTATTTCTGCAGGCCCTGTTTCCCTCCCTTTCTAGGCTGGATCTTTTTGGTGCATCTCTCTGACATTAGCTTTTCTCTATGTTCATTCTTGAATGAGGACAGATGTGACCTGGCCTAATATGTGTCCCAAAACAGTCCAGTGGATTGCCTTTAGTCCCCTCTGTATTTCCCCTAATGAGCACAAGGTTCTGGGGGCCACGATCCAGCACCATGTTAGCCAGTCACCAACATGACCACTCGGGAGCAAACTTCGTAGTTTCTCTTTTCTCAGTTTCCTCTTCTGTAAAACTAAAAGGCTGAGCTAATCTTGAAATGTCCTTTAGGTCTATATTTTTATGATAATTTTATATATCATATAGATTCAAAGTTTCATTAGTTTGGAACCAGTAAGCAAGGATTCTGCTAAAGTCACATATAAATGAGTAATACCCTGTTTCTGAAGACTCACAGCACTATATTTCAAACTAAGTCAATCACAAACATGAAGCTCAAGAAATAGACATAATTTGATTATACACAGAAGAGACTGAATTATAAATAATTTAGCAAGAGCTAGCAGAGCCCATGTCTGAGGGGTGTTCTGCGTGTGAGGTGTGTGTAAGAAGGCAAAGCAACCAAGAGTTATCCTTCTCTCTTTCAGCTTCCCAGCACCCGTCAACCCCAGGACCTTGCATGAGTCTCAACACTGAAAAACTGTGATGACAACCACGCCATCTGATGGTGTGCCTGCCTCTTCACAACTCCAGAGGTAACGCTGATCAACTGCTCCCTGTGCACCGTGTGCTGTGGCAAGTGTGCCGTGTGCATGACTTCATCTACTCCTGTCAACCTCCTGTTGGGAGACTCAGCCCTGCCTGGGTCTCTGGCTCTCCGACACAGGCCACACCAAAAGGCTGGGTCCTGACCACCCTTGGCTCAGGACACTCCTCAGGGTGGTGTCTGCAGCGAGCAACCTTGAGGGAGGCAATTCTGTCTCCCTCAGGGATGAAGAGCAGGTCTACCTGCTATAGAGCAGCAACTTCCCCAGGCTCCATGCTCTGTGGATGTGACTCAAAGCACAGCATCCATCTGGGCCCACAGTATCACCCTTGCAGGATGTGGGGGAGAGGGAAGTGATACACATGCTTTCCTGATGACAGAGTTTTGGGTCTGGTGGGGAGTTTTATACATACAAAAATAGGTAAGGGAGACAGGGTGAGTTTTCCCTCCAGATGATCCCACCCTGAGTCCTGTAACCCAAAACTTTTTGGCACGAAGGACCAGTTTTAGGAAAGACAATTTTTTCATGGACCAGACAGGAGGTATGGTTTCAGGGATTCAAGCACATTGCATTTACTATGCATTTTATTTCTATTATTATTACATTGTAATATATAAATAAATAATTATACAACTCACCATAAAACAAAATCAGTGGGAACCATGAGCTTGTTCGCCTGCAACTAGACAGTCCCATCTGGGGGTGACAGGACACAATGGCTCCTGAAGGGTGTTGTTTATGTCCAGTCTACCCCACAATCACATTTCACTTGCTGCCACTGCAAAAAACCCTGCTTCGCTGGCTGGGGATTTAGCTCAGTGGTTCCGGTGCCTGCCTCGAAAGCACAAGGTCCCAAGTTCAATCCCCGGTACCAAAAAAAAAAAAAAGAAAAAAGAAAACCCTGCTTCACAAAGATAAGATGTTGGAAGTGGAAGGGGGCTTTTCAGTGCTTTCATGGCACTCAGGGTATCCTGCCTTGATGTTAATCCAGAACATATGGAGATTTGAAATTGACTCAAACATACTTTTAAGGCCACCATCATTTGTGATCTGAAGCAGCTGGTCCTCTTCCAGCACAGACAAAGTCCATTCCCCTAGATTATGCAAAAAATGGGCCACAGATCCATTCCTTCCCAGTTTTGAGGTCTTTTGTGGTTGGAAAATAATGTTCAAACACTTTTGAAATCTGAGATAGGTGATCATGCACCAGCTCAGAGAAAGAAGGTCTTGGCTTAGTCTCTTTCACAACCTCTGCTAATGTTTGAAACATGTCAAAAATCCCAACTTCCACTCATTGCCCTCATCATTCCAGTTTGGCTTTGAATGCAGCCACTTTATCGGTCAACTTGAATGCTTCTGTCATTCTCCCCTGAAGTGAGAGATTGAGTTTTGTTGAGCAGGTTGAATATGTCACCTGAATAAGCAAACTTTGTGACCCATTCTGTATCACTGAAATGTGCTGCCAATAGTGACTGTTTTTCTAAAAAGAAATCTCTGGAGTGACTCTTGTAACTCAAAAAACTCTGTTCTACCTTTAGAAAGCCACCTCATTTCAGGGTGTAAGAGAAGACACGTGCTCTGGGCCATCTCCTCACAGAGCTAGATCCCTCACAGGTGCAGTTCACAGTAGGATTTGTGCACCTCTGAGAATCTAATGCTGCTGCTGACCGACAGGAGGCAGAGCTGAAGGAGTAATGCTAGTGATAGGGAGTGGCTGTAAATACGATGGAGCTTCACTAGCTGGCCTGCCACTCACCTCCTGCTGTGTAGCCCAGTTCATATTAGGCTATCAACTGATACCAGACCATGGCCCAGGGCTGGAAACCCCGCTGAGATCCCAGGGTAGAGAACAGCATACATCTTCCTATTCTTTTTTGTTGGTTTGGTTTTTTGAGACTCGGTCTCAGTACATAGCTCAGGGTGGCCTAAAACTCTCAATCCTCCTGCCTCAGCCTCCTGAGTGCTAGGATTACAAGTATGTGCCACCATACCTGGCTTACACTTTTCTTTCAACTCAAACCCATTTGGGATCCACTGCAGTATGGGGCTAAACTTCTCAATTATTTTCAGCACTGAATCAATTGCTCTGAAACCATATGGAATAATTCTTCCCAACCTTGTGCAGTAATGCCTGATGTCTCCTGAATCAATCCTCTATAAAAGTTAGCAGCTAATGCCAGGTGTGATGGCACATGCCTGTATTCCCAGCACTCAGGAGGCTGAGGCAGGAGGATTGCCATGAGTTCAAGGCCAGCCTGGACAACATAGTGAGTTCAAGGACAGTCTGAGCTGGATAGCAAGGCTTTGTCTCAAAAAACTTTAAAAAAAAAGTTAGCAACTAAGTCACTTCTGTTCCATTTATTGCCTGTCCTGCTTTCATCCAAGTAACATATAGGACTAATAAATTATTGCTTGTAATAAGCTTTGAAGGCTCAGCTACTTCTAATCCATGTAATGCTAGGCTAATCTTAACTACTCTGAGGTTCCACATCTATTAAACTAGGCTAGTAACAGTAGGCTGGTCCCTGATAGCCATCCTCCCTGTCTTCTTTAGTAACAGCATTTGGGGTTTTAAGTGCACATATGCCTTCCCTGAATATAGATTGCATTTCCCAGTCTCCCTTCCTGGGAGACCTGACCACAAAACCCAATCAGTCCAATATGGTATAAGAAATGCCATGTGGGATCTTGGGAAAATAGCCTTCAAGGCCTGGAATAAAGATGGAAAGCCAGAGTTCCAGCAGCCATAAGGCCATGAAGTGACCTCAGAAGGAACCTGGGTCTCTGACCATGCAGGCTCCCTACCTGCACTGAGCTGATCATCCCTGGACTTCTCATACCTGAGGAAAAAAATCCTACCTTATTTATACCTTTATTATTTTTGAGTTTTCTGTCACTCACAGCCCAACCTAAAGAACAGGTCTCTCAAAGGAGAGGGGTAAAAGTTAAATAAGAAAATAGAACACAAAAGATACAACCATTTTATATTTCTGCAACAAAGGGTCTAGCACTGTTTCTACACATAGCAAGCAACTCAAACATTTGTTGAAATGAGTATGAATCTGGAAAAGTGAAGGCAATTTCATTGCTTTAAAAAAATAATCTTTTTACTAACTTACTTTTCCTAATGAACATCCCCATTTTGTAAGTCCTGTAAAATATTTCATTGGAATCGTATTAAATCTTTACCAATATTTGAATATAAAATATTAGCATGGGGGCTGGGGATTTAGCTCAGTGGTTCCGCTGCCTGACTCGCAAGTGCAAGGACCCGAGTTCGGTCCCCAGTACCAAAAAAAAAAAGAAAAAATATTGTCACTATTGTTGTATTTAAACTTATCTGGAAAGGGTCAAGAACTGGTTAATTGATTAATTTCATCCTATTCATTCAAAACACATTCAGTAAGAGGATACTCTCTAACAAGCATAGTTATAAAAATGATACTTTGAAGTTAAAAGACAAGAAATGTTAGGTAAATAATCCCTAAGCCCACTTTCACTCAGAGAGGTGGGAGAGATGATATTATCTATCTATTGTCAGGTGAGGACAATGGCTAACAAGCTACTTTGTCTCCACTGCCCCAGGTGTGAATGTAGAATCTCTTGTGTCTCTTTTTCACAGCCCATGAGACCCCTCCAACCCAGGGTCCTAGCCTTGTGTTTTGTCGTTTGCTGTCACCTCATGTTTTCTGAGACTCCCCTGCTACACCTGTGTAGCCCATGCTCCAGTCCCTTTGTCAGTAGGTCTGGTGCTCCCTCCCACACATTGACAGTGACAGAGCTAAACATGACAGTGTTGAAGCTCCTTAGTTCACAGCTTTGTTGTACAGGTGGGGCTTAGCCCTGTGGAGACTGGCAGCAGTCTGCACACGACAGCATCATTGTTGTTGTCATCACCACCACTCTGACACTTTGCTAAGCACCTTCCCACTGAATATAACTCTGAACCCTGACAATAATTTCCTACAGTGGGTACTGTTATCACATCCATTTAAAGTGAAAAGCAGGGCCACATAGGTTAGGTAACATATCCAAGAACTCATGGCTAGCGAGAGTACCCTCACTGGTTGTGATATCTGAGCTAAGTCAGGCTTTGAACTCAGCTCAGACCTGTTTCTATTCCAAACTATTCTTCATATCCTGTCCCACAAAGAATTGATGGGCACTTTACACCCTACACTGGCAAGTTGCTCCCATCACCCTGCCCCCACTTCCTACCTAGCTGTTCCCTTCTCTAACCCAGCACATGGGTTTCTCAGCTCAATCAAGAGTCCTACTTTTTCCTTTCCTTTCCCAAGGGGCAAAAGGCTTCATACCAGGGTGGGGCTCTCATACTCAGAATAGCTACTTCCCTGAAGTTGTCCCTGATCCTATCACTACTCCTCAGCTGTGGGTTTCAGCACTAGGGCCAGTGTCTTGGCCTACACTCCAGGGTCTCTGATCTAGAGGTTAATACTAGACACACACTGATGGACAGGGGAAGGAAGTGGGGAAGGGGAGAGGAAAGGGACAAGAGGGTACTAGGATTGAAAATAATCAAAGTATCATTGTTACATAAATATATGTACCAATTTCCAAAAATGAACTTTGCCATTCTGTATTACTAACATACTCTAATTTAAAAATAAAGAAGAAAAAGACATTAATAGATTTTCCCTCTGGGTCTCTCAGATTAGACCCTTCATCAGCTTCTGTGAGCTAATCTCAGTCAGACACTAAGCCAAGCAGGGGGACAGAACCACACACACACACACACACACTCACACACACACACGCTCAAATTCCAGTTCCTACCAGCCATCTGGGTAGATCTCCTGTACTCTAGCCCTGAGTTTCCGTAGCAGGCTTCTATCTGTTACCCATGTTCAGGGTCCAGAGAGGCCCAAGGCTGCACCCCCAAGTCACAGGGCTCCCAGGCCACATTAGTCCGTCTTCCCAGGTCTTCCTCTGACAGTTCTGACCAGTCGCCTTTTCTAGAACTTGCACATGTATTCCTCCCACTGAGGCTGCAGATCCATCCTGAACCCCAGAATGTTGGACAGGCTGGGGGAGGCAGAGATTTCACCATGAAGGGGCCACAACAGAAAGTGCGGGTGCGCTATTATGGTTTGCTGAGTGTTCGGCTGCAGCAGGGCCTCCCTCAGTCTTCTGTGCCTGGAAAGACAGGAGCTGATTGACTGACCGGGTGAGTGAGACCCTAATGACATACATGACACTGGCTCCAATGATGGTGGAACAAGAAGGCACAGCTGCAGGATGGGGCATAGGCCACAGGGAAGGAGGTAGAGACTGGGACCTGCCATGGGTCTGCCTATCTAGCTGGCCACCCCTCCTCTTACTGCTCCCTTGGCCCTTCCACTGTGTCCCACTGTGTCTCTCAGGCTGACACTCACTCCCCAGCACTACAGGAGGCATCCTTTGTTCGCCACATAAGTCGTCCTCTCCTACAACATGACCTTGACCTCAGGGGCCATCTACTCAAGGAAGGCCCATCTCTGCCCCAACCCAGGGGGCATCTGAACCATCTGTGAGGGTTCTCAAACAGGCAGATGGCCAAC